CTCGGGGCCCCGGCTATCGGGCTGCCCCTCGGGACACTTTGTCCGCGGCAAGCACAGGCCGGCACCTCGGCAAGGCGCTGCCCGGGAGCCTGTTCCCCACAGCAGCAGCAGTGGTGGAGCGCCAGCTAGTCCTCAGGAGGGCTTTGCCCGGCGGCACGGATCCGTCACCCCAGAGATGTCCTTGCCGTGGCCACGCAGGGACCAGAGCAGCCTTTCAGTGGTGCCTTTGCAGCCGCAAGAGCAGGTCTGCACACACCTCCCTGCCAGGAAAAGGATCTGCCCCTGCCCTGCAAGCAGGAACCCCCCCTGCCTTCTCTCCCAGCTTCTCTCGGGGAGACCGTAGCCTCCCGGCCCACCGCAGCACAAGTGCTGCCTGCAGAGCTGCACACGCCAGAGCTGCCAGCGCGCTGCAGGCTTAGTGGCCTTCCCAGCTAGCTGCTGACTTGGCATCACGGTGTGTCTTCAGCTGAACCATTCCCACACAAAATGGGAGGCCCCTGGCTGCCTTTATCTTGGTGCTGCTCAACATAGAATCATAGAATCATTAAGGTTGGAAAAGACCTCTAAGATCATCGAGTCCAACTGTCAACCCAACACTACCATGCCCACTAAACGTGTCCCTAAGCACCTCATCTACATGTCTTTTAAATACTTCCAGGGATGGGGACTCAATTGCTTCCCTGGGCAGCCTGTTCCAATGTTTCACCACTCTTTCAGTAAAGAAGTTTTTCCTCACGTCCAAGCTAAACCTCCCCTGGCGCAACTTGAGGCTGTTTCCTCTCGTCCTATCGCTTGTTACTTGGGAGAAGAGACCAACCCCCACCTCACTACAACCTCCTTGCAGGTAGTTGTAGAGAGCGATGAGGTCTCCCCTCAGCATCCTTTTCTCCGGGCTAAACAACCCCAGTTCCCTCAGCCGCTCCTCATAAGACTTGTTCTCCAGACCCCTCACCAGCCTTGTTGCCCTTCTCTGGACACGCTCCAGCACCTCAACGTCCTTCTTGTAGTGAGGGGCCCAAAACTGAACACAGTATTCGAGGTGCGGCCTCACCAGGGCCGAGTACAGGGGCATGATCACTTCCCTACTCCTGCTGGCCACACTATTTCTGATACAGGCCAGGATGCCATTGGCCTTCTTGGCCGCCTGGGCACACTGCCGGCTCATGTTCAGCCGGCTGTCGACCAGCACCCCCAGGTCCTTTTCCAACAGGCAAAACATGGAGCTGCAGAGGCTGGTACAAAGTGCAGCTGGTGGCCAGGGCTGTCCTTACACAGCTCGTTGTCCTGCCGCATCGGTGCCTCGCTTACCTACTGCTGCTGAGCTCTGGCATGGCGTAAGCAGGTGCTTTTCCTGTCCACCTCAGTGAAGGAGCTGGGTTTGGCAACCAGAGCCAGATTCAAGCTGTCATTAGTGAGTAGAAAGACGAATTCACTTACTCTGGGAGGCCTGCAGGAGGAATTTGTGTAATTACTTTGTGGACAGAGTAAAAACATCAGGATTAAATGCTGTGCAATTAAAACAATAGAGAGATTACGTCTACCATTGCCCTTCTTCCCATATGAAGTCATGCACTGGTGCTCCAGGAAGTTTCATGCATGTATATTATATGCGCCTGCCATATGGCTGAAGTGAGGTCTATGACCAACTGGATTTACCTTATAAGCAGGGACTGTCATAAGAGTATGTAGGCACAAATTGTTGAGAGAATTAATTTCTTTACAGGCAATTTTTCATCTGGATTTTCAAATGAATGCAGAACAAAATTGCTCTGAAAGTTAGTAGTATCAGGGGTATGCTTTCCTTCTTCCTTTCAAAAACCACAGTTCCCTAGAACATAAATATCTAAACAGAACCTCATTTAACACAAGCATACTGGAACTTTAGAAGCTTCACTGCTCTTGGAAAAATATATATATACATTGCTGAGCATACTAAATGAAAGAGTAACATACTAGACTTGCAGGTCACTAATTTCCTAGGTTGCCATTTTAAATTTAAATTTAATTTTTAATATTTTCAAACAAAAAATAAATGTGAATCAAACTCCTTACGTGTTAAGGAGTGATATAATTGGTAACATCTAAATAGAAAACTAAAACTAGAAGATGCAGCATGTCTGGACTAATATCTAATACCTAATTTCAATATACATCTTTAGTATTTCACCAAACACTTCTTCATCATCACTGGTTGTTCTTTTAAGAAAATGTTACAGAGGACAGAAGCCCCAGGCTTAAACCTGAAAATAAGTACACCCTTCCATCAGGGTACCAGAGCTGGCTTATTTAAAAGCATGAGAAATGTGTAGCTTGGGACAGTATAACCTAACTATGTTCCTAATACAGCAGAACACTCTCCATGAGGATATCTAGCATAATACAGCTGTATAGCACTGGGTCCCTTTTAGCCCAAAACAATGCTGTGTATTTACATGAGTTTAAAGCCAGTTACTCTTGTGACTTGTTCAGTTGTGCTCATATATTGCACCGGTAACACTATTCCACTGTTATCAGTACCCTGTGATAGCAGATGGTGATTTTTTTAACTATTATCAACACATTTTCATGCAGTGGGAACCCGGCACCTGGCTTCCACCAGGCCTTCAGAATCAATTTGATGAGTCTGCCCTCTTCCCAGGCCCTGCTGTGAGGCATCCCGATGGCAGCCCTGCTGAGTGCTGCTCTCCCCAGGGTGCTCAGCTGGGTTGCCCGCAGAATGAGAAATGGAGAGACGCACATTCTGGTGCTGACGGTGCAAAAGTGCTCAGTTTTCAATAGTTGTTAATATTTACAACAGTGATTGGCAGCTGGGAGATGAATAGGACCTCAGAGGTCTTCTGCACAATCCACAAACGTTGTAAATGTGTTTAATTTGAGCTTAAACTCTGCAGGAATTTGAGGCTACCCAGAAATGTGCGGGGGCTCAGTCAAATCTCTGCTTTACTTTCTCAAACAAGGGCTGCACCCTCAGCATAGTGCTGGAAATAGCTGCCAAAATTACAGGTACCCTCAAATCGCAGGCGGCGTTCCTGCACACACATGCTGCTCCCTCCAGTCCCCAAGCTAAGATACAGTTTAATTTATGTAAGTAATGGTGGTTGCAGGCAGGTGTTCCTGGCAGAGTCAGAGCATCTGCTCTGTGTGTTAATTAAATATTAGTAATCTTCTTCCTGAAGATTATCTCAGCACTAGCATTGCAGCAGCGTTTCTCTCTGTGTTGCCCTCCTCTTTGGAGAGCACAGGGATTGTGCATTCTTCTGTCTGTGATGCCACAAGAGACCGTCTGTCCGTCACGAAGGACATACTCACATCTTCCAGTCTCCGTTTTGTAATCCCTACTCACAGTAAAAAGCACTAATGAGGATTATTTACATGAATAAGAGATTCAACAACAGTGAAAGTGATGGACTCTTTGCAAGCTGCCAAGTAATACAATTAAGCCAGAACCTATTTACACTAATTTCCATGTAACCCATGAAAGGATGTTTTGTTTAAATTTTCCACAAATTCTAGCTTAAGGAAAAGCTTAAACGTAGGCATTTTCAACCCAGAAAGCCAACATTTTAGGAAGAAAGCAAATGTAGGTGATTTGAAGAAATCTGAAGCCTTTGGGACTCAAAATCTGGTGTGTACTTCTGCCATTTCGCATGGGGAAATGGAGCACTGTGCAATTTAATTTAGCTGGAAAGGCCAACCTGAAGCGCACGGAGCCCCCATAGGCTCTACAGCCACTGCCTATGTCTGCTCCCTGCCTTCCCCCTGGGCTGGGGTCCTCGGAGGGGCTGCCGTGCAGTGGGCCCTTCCCGTGGGAGCACCTGCCCCAGGAAACCCACCTTTTGGCTCCAAACCCAAAGGAAGCAGAAATGAAAGGAAACTCGGATGCCACTCCTGTGAGCAGTGCTCAGGAGACCTGGCTTTGTGAGGGTTTCCAGCACAGCCACTTTCCCTCCTGCTCCCTCTCCCTCGGGATTCCCCCGTCTCTAACACCTAACAGCGGTAATCGGGGGTTTTCTCCTCGAATTTTCAACGTTTTTCTCACAGGAATAAAGCGTCTGGGAGGCTCCCGGCCTCAGCTCGGTGGAAGGCTACCAGCGGGTCGCGGGGTGGCCGCGCGGCCGCTGAGGCGAGCGCGAAGCACCGCGCGTTCGCGCCGTGGGCGGGAAGGCGGCGCCCGGCGGCAGCGCAGGACGGGGGAGGTGGCTCCGCTGCCCGCCTC